GTACTGGTGGCCCAAAATGTATAAGTGGGTCGGCACCGATGTACGCACGTGTGAGACGTGTCAACGGACGAAGTCCGCGCCGAGCACGGCAGCGCCATTGGCGAGTTTGCCTGTCCCCAAGGGATGTTGGCATTCCATGAGTATGGACTTTGTGTTTGGCCTTCCCAAGGACAACGCAGGAAACACGGGTATTGTGGTCTTTGTAGACCGATTGAGCAAGATGGCTCATCTAGCAGCGGTGCCGGACACCATAGATGGTGAAGGTACAGCTTTGCTGTTTTTAGACCGAGCATTTCGCCAACATGGCTTGCCTGAGGCAATTGTCTCGGATCGAGACCCGCGCTTCACCGCGAAGTTCTGGACGTCCCTCTTCAGAGTGCTTGGCACTCGGTTGGACATGTACACAGCGGACCATCCGCAGACCGATGGTCAAACCGAATGCGTGAATCGCGTTGTGGAGGATATCCTCCGAAGCGTATGCGCTGAGGCGCCAAAACGCTGGAGCCAGATGCTCCCACTCGTTGAGTTCGCATTAAATAATGCAGTGCACGCCTCGACAGGCTACACTCCGTTCTATGTGAGCGGCTTGGTTAACCCTCGCGTCCCATTGACGCCGCCACGCAGTGGCTCAGGGCTTGATGGGGGAGGGATAGCCGAGCGGCTAGCTGATGTCAGCCCTGTTGCGGTTCGCAAGCAAGTCGATGACTTTGTCTCTTTGAGACTAAGCGTAATGCGTCAAGTACGCGACGCTATGGCTGAAAGCCAAGACATGCAAAAAGAACATGCAGATGCCAAAGGCAGACGCAATGAAGAAAGGTTTGAGGTCGGATACCTAGTTTTATTAAATGCCAAAAACCTACCTACTCATGCAGTGTCTGCAGTCTTTAAGACAAAATTGAGACCACGGTTCATAGAGCCGTTCAAGGTCGTGGCCAAAAAGGGCCTAGCGTATACGCTTAACCTTCCGAAGAAGATGCGCACGTATCCAGTCTTCTACGTTGGCTTACTCAAGCCGTATCAGAGCCCTGCTCAGGTGAGCGCGGAGGCGTTGGCGCCAACGGTGGCTGGGCCACAACAGGCTGCGCAACAGCGGGAGGCCAAACCACGGCGGGCTGAGCGACAGCAGGTGGCGGGGCCACAAGACGCAACAGCAAGTCGATCTGACCTTGCAGCTGAGCGACTTGACGCTCAAGGTCCGCGACTCGGTTCTGAACCGACTGTGGTTGTTCAAACCAGTCCACGCGGTGGTTCGTCTCATCGAGACCATCTGCAAGGCGACTCAGAGAGTCAGTCGTATCATGGAGATACCGGTTCAGAGAACCCACACGCTGCTCCAGCGCGAACACGTCGCTGCGACTCGCGCCGCGAGAGTCCAGCTGAGGCTCGGCCTCCTCCTGCTCTGCTCGATGAGCACGGCGAGCTCCACTTCCATGTGGAACGCCTGATGGCGAGGCGCATGCGCCAGGATCGTACTCAGTACCTTGTGAAATGGAGGGGTTATCCTCACTCACAAAACCCTTGGGAGTTTGAGGTTGTCCTCCGGCAGGACTGCCCTGACGTCGTCGACGCTTTTGATCGGGCACACTCACTGCCCCGCCGCTACGGCGTACGACCGCGTCGTCAGGCGCCGAGCGCTTCCCGCCGCTAGAACGCGGGGATGACAGGTCGGTGGCTGAGCTCAAGCTCCGACCAGTGGCTGGAGCAGCCGGCTCATAGGAATGAGCGGTGCTCGCAGCATGAGCAAGAGGTGGTGACGCCTCGAGGTGATGGGGACGGGGTCCCAGTGTCCGTCGACGTGCTTTCGACTTAGCGAAGTCTAAGCGCAAACGTCTCTCAAGACGAATATCAGTTTTAGAGAAACTTGCTCGAAGAGCATTGTAGGAGGGGAGCCGTCGAGCTCCCTCCACCCAGCTTCGGAATTGTGCTTCATAAGCACGCTGGGATTCCCCAGGGTTGAGAACAACCGGAATGGTTCGCATGGAGGGAACCGGTTGGCGGTTGAGCTGCATATGCAGGCGCGCCTGATACTCCTGAGGAGTTGTGACTTGTGGAGTCAGATATCGCTCTCGGAGCCGGTGCCGTTTCACTTGCTCATCAGCAGTCGAGGCCGCAGGCCCACACGTGTACGTGTTCAGCGGCTGCTGCACCGCGAGGCGGGCCGCTTCGGCAGGGTTCCGCGGCTGGAAGCCGTAGTCACGGCGTGACGTTAGAACTAGTGGTCGGACCACAGGTCGGAACGACTGCGAGCGCTGCTCATTGGACAACTGACGGCCTTAGGCCTCGTCCAGGTCATTCGTAATGACGTTGTGATCGTATCGATCTTCCTCGTCATACCGCGACGATAGCGGTGGCGCATCGCGCAGCGAGCGAATCGGATTCGAACGTTCAGAGAACGGATGCGGTGTCCGCAGGTCTCTTCTTGTTTGAGATTGCGCCGTTGAGCGGCTAGACCTCACAGAGGAAGCTGGAGAAGACGCGGCACCAGTGTGCGACCTCGGAGAGGTTGGGTTGGAGTGATCCTTACTACCCATGGGCTCGTCGTAATCGACTTCGCCCTCTTCGAGTTCCGAGAACAGAACATCGTTCCCTCTGGGCGGCGCCCGCGGCTCTGACGAGCTTTGAGCTTTGCTCTCTTCTTGTTGACGGCTCATGGAGCGTTGACCGTGGCGACGGCGATACTCTTGGTGTTACTGTGCCACCGAAAGAGACGAAGATGCTCTTGGAGCAGTTGCGGAGCGCAGTTGGGGGTCTGGGACCGACGAGGCAGGGGCGGCGCGACGCGCTGGAGACGTTGGGCCGTGGGCCGGAGTGGAAGTGCCAGGCATCAAGGATGCGAACGCGTTTGTGAGCTCGTGGAGCTGCAGAACGCAGAGGTGAGGTCTAGTGACCTTCGTCGTCTTGACAAGACGTGACCTCGCTGAGGAAAGTTCGAGAGCGGTATGTTCTCATCTTAGTGAGGGAGAGTGTAACGGGGTTACATGGTGTGGAACACACAGGGGTACGAAGTACCCGGAGAGTTAACAAACGCTCAGTACATAAGTTGGAGAGTTAACAAGGTCTCTCAGTACGTTGGCTGAAAGCCACACGTTATGCATTTGATTGGGTTTAACTATGCTAGATAGTTAAAGAGATACATTTACCCCTAGGCGGCTTGGCCGCAATAATAGTAAATAAAACACTTCTGGTTTTGAAGCATAAAAGTTAAGGTATTAACTTTGAGCCCTGGTCTTGGGCTGTAAGTTCCTTTGGATAAGGAACTTAGTATTGGTGACTCTTTGAGTCGAACGTCTTCCTCTGACGCTAAAGCTACGGCAGCCCCGCTGCAGATGGATAGCGACTAAGACTGATGGGAGTCGAACTACGTCGAGAAGGTTCGCTTCGGGTGTACTCAGTTTCTTATTTGCCGAGTGTTCTCCCCTCTAAATGGAACCTCACGCTAGCGTTTTCTACGAGTACGCTCGCTGGGAGCTGTGGCCTGTGTACGTAGGCGCCGTAGCGGTATGGGTCCTAACGACTCCTCTACGTAACGTTACCTGGGAGTTCTTGATCCAAGTGTGGTGTGTGGTCAAGATGAACCGCGATATTTGGGGCGACTGTGCGTCGTTGTACCGAGACGTGCTTTAAGCTAACGAACTTCGACAACTTCGGGGTGCTACCTACGCGTATGGAGTATGGAGTGCGCTATTCGCTGTGCCTCCTATCGTTCTGCTCAAAGGAGAAGAGAAGTATGGTCGCTATGGACGGATGTTGCGGCGTTGGTGGATCGCCGGCAAGGTGACCTTCTCCGACTACTTCCCAGAATTCCTCCTCCGAACAAGAGACTCGAGCATACGCTATTGGTACGCTTTCTGGGACGCTCTCAAGGCCACCGGGATGCGCCTGTACGCTGTGGGAGAAGCCACCTACTGGCTGGTACTACTATGCCTTTCCCTGCTGCTGTACATCCCGGTCAACGTCTTTGATCTGGTGGAGTTCGTACTCCTGGGACCAGTGGGTGTTGGGGCTGTACTGTTGCTCCTACTGGCTACCAACTACTGCCTCGAGTGGACTGGCTGGAGTCTCGCCGACACTCTTGTCGTGGTGGTCGCCGGTGTTGTATCTCAAACTTGTCGCCAATACGACGAGGGAAGCCCTCTCAGAACCATCTCCCCTCAAGTACTAGTCGAACTAGCTTTGACAAGTACCCGCCGAAACGCTTTCAAGCGTAGTATGGCCGAAGCCCGGAACATCGAACGTCTACGGGTCGACGACGACATCGAGGTGTTATATGACTTTCAGGCCGCCGACCCTGACTACATTGAGGACTGCTCCGAGGACTACCCTGAAGCGTTCCAGCCTCACCTGCCTGTCGACGTTACTAACGACGGAGTCAATAGAGCTAACGTGAGGGATGTACGCAGAGGATCCGTTCGCCGAGGACGGCAAACGACAAGTCGGGGAGGATGTCCCGTACCCGGGAACGGAGGGGCCATTCCAGGAGCTCTGCCTCCCGACGGGATGACTCGGGGCCCTGGAATCACCCCTCGTCCGGCCGTCCCGTCAGGATGGTTTCCGTTGAACCCGACAACGCACGTGCCCCTGACCGAGCCCGTTAGGGTGCTCCTATAAGGAGATCTCTGAACGATGGTGTCCTGGCGTCGTGGGCCCAAAAGCACCTCGCGTCATCAAGCCCCTTCCAAGAAGCTCTCCGCTGTCCCACGAGGATTGACGACAAACGAAGTGAATCCTTCTTTTTAGTATAAGAAGTAGTGTAGTGTATGTAAGGTCGAGAAGGTGTTAGACCTCTCTTCCAATTTAGCTCTCAGTCTTATATTTCCCTCCTTCTACTCAAGAGGAAGCCAAGCCAATAAACAAACGTATATAACAACTTACTAGTGTCCCTATCTACCGTTCCTGCAACCACTGAACAAGACCGTACTCCCTGAACAGCCGCGGACTACCTGACCCTTGAAGGAAGAGGAGGTATACGACAGTATTCCCTTGAAAATTCCAGTGGAATCATGCCAAAATGGCACAGTACCATCTGCTACTTTTGTAGCTTGCTCGGTAGCAGACATTGGCTCGATATGCAACAGTAGCCAATTCAGAACAAAACCTTAGTAGATTAGTTTCAGTCAATTTAAAGTTCCAATACATGTGTTACTGAAATGTCAGAGGACACTTGAGCACAACCACTTTCGGCCAATCAAAACAAAGTAGCACGTACAAACTTGTACTTGTTCTTTCTTACAGGTCGCCCAATAATCAATTGATCGCTCAGTGTCGTTAATGGCAAGCATCACGCAGTGCTTCTCCACAAGTGTTCTTCAGGGCTTTACAATGTCAAATGAACCATTTTAACCTCGAGAACCAGGTCGCGATAAATAAATCGGGGGAAACTTGCTAAAATGATTAAGCATGTGCAGATAAAAAAACTGCCGCCTTCGTTCACACGTACGGCTGGAATAAGTATTTCGTTTGGCTCTATGGGGTCACGTTCGTCGACTGCAGCTCGGAGCGCCCAAATAGTCGACAACGTGTCCTCTCCCCCACCTCTGGAGCTGCGGCAGTCGAAGCGGCTCGCAAGCGCAGACACCGAGAGCTAGTTAACCGCCTGTATTACATTGCGATCTGTTCGTTTTCATTGCATGAGAATACGTCAGTAAAACTTGTATCATATGTAGGAACAGCTAGAGAAGCTAAGGAAGCACGAACGTGCGTTGGCCATACAACAATCAGCGCCGTTGCCTTACATGCAGTCTCGACCTCCAGTGGCGACACTGGGAGGTCTTACTGTAACGGTCCGTGCACTTCACGTTAAAAACTTGCAAGCTACGAGAAAGAAGGATTGGATAGGAAGAATGCACCAACCTGCGGCCCATCCATAGCCAACATGTGATGTTCAACAAGATGCTGGCTGCTGCGAGTATCAGTTTGAACGGGTCGAGTTCGAGAGGAATCTACAAAGAAACGCGTAGAGAACCAGTCTCGAGTTCCGGGCTAGAATTGAATTCGATCACTGCAGACGAATGTTACGAAGCCATTTGAAGATCTTTGAACGCAGAGGTACTTTTGTCATCTGGAAAGAGAAAGATTGCAGTATTCCGTCTGCAAGTTCTTTCCTGGACGTACAGCGCAAGAAACATCTGATCGCGGGCACAAAGCTCTCCATTCTCGAGGCATGACTTCCAAAACCCGCACGATAATCAAACTGTGAACGAGAACAACCGCGTGTTTTGCCGTGAATTGCAGCGCCCAGGACAAAATACAATTATGAAGACCTTGGTACTGATGTCGCGGTTTTTCAGACTAAAGACGGATATATGACGATGACTCGCGCATTGGGTCATGAAAAGTTCGGCTTTACTGGATTTGTCGGTCCTAAAAACGAAGCCCAAAGATGAATGCAGGTCATCATAAATTCGAGAACATATCAGCACCGAGTTGTCTGGCTGGATATGTTTGCCTGGACGTTACTTGAGAACCGAAGCGATGGATTTGGCGTGGACTTGATAAAGCACTTTCGGCAAATAACGCACAGTTCTAGATGGTGGAGTCAACATAACTGGGGTGAATTTCAGCTAGTTGCTTACCTACTGCACTCGTAATAATCACCGCACTCATTCTGCAGTGAGTGTGAACTGCGAGCCTACGGCCATGCTCTCCCATCGAACCGCGATGAACAGAACCTCGCGCAGCCAAAGCGTGGTGGTGGCAGTCCCGCCAAAGTGGAACAGACACTTCTTGGGCTCGGTGGGTACGTTGTAAAACAAAACCCAAATGTACTTTTCGATCCACATGTCGGAGGACGCCAGCTTAAGCGCTGGAGCATCGTTCAAGTTGACATCTGGTACGCCGCCGACATCAAACTCTTCGAAGCGCACAAGATCCTTATCAATAGACCGGAAGAGCAGCAGGTAACCTTCTTTGATCTGCCTTCTCGCAAGCAAGAAGACTGTTTTGACAACTCGGGCGCTGTCTGCTGGTGTAGTGATGCGTCGAAAGAAGAGTTTCGTATCAGCATCAATATGCTGCAGCGCATAGAACTGCACATCCAAAGCAGCACCGTAGATTTTAGAAAACTCCTCGGGGTTAGAGAATATTTCCCAGCTTCTTTGTAACAAGTTGAGAGGTGAGAGGCCAAACTCCTTCTGCAAAGCAAACTTAAGTGTGCGTCCGTGAACCTCACGTTGATCCGCCCATCCCAGCACACGGGCACCAGTACTTAATTTCTCCGGACTACGGGCAAAGCGTAGTACGTCGTTCATTGCAATGTTGACCACGTTAGTGTAGGCAGCAGTAGACATCGGGCGAATACGGTACTGGCGACCTGTAGAAACCCCGGGCAGCGGCTCTTTGGCCGCCTCGTAAGCATCAATCAGCTGGCCCATGCGGCTTTCGACCTTCATGTGGTATGCGTTGAGCTGGTACAGTCGCCCATTCTCCTGCTGATACATTTTTTTAGCTCCGTTACCTGTAGGTACTTTTGCATGTTTGATGCTTGAGCTCCAGTGGAACCGTCCTCATCACTCTGTCTGTTACTTCCGCCACCTGAGATAAGCATCACTGCATACTTCTTGTCCAGCATTTCCAGTTCGCGCCGAAGATTCTCTAGCGTCGTCTGTCACGAACAACTTCCTCAATCGGCAACAATGACTTACGTTCAAGGTTCTTACAAAACACACAACGTACAAGCTTCTTCTTGTACGATTTCTTCACATATTCCCTGTGTTTAAGACGCTTGCGCTCTGATAGCTTAGCCTCTGCGACGGCCGCAATGTCTCCGCTTGGTGGGTTGTCGGGCTCCATTTGCCGTCTGAACTCTTCCAAAAATACTATAGTAAATTTGGAGCAATTTGAGAATAAAATTTGTTTTATTTCTCAGCTAAACTTTAAATTTTAGGCCATGTTCGATCTAAGCTAAAAATTTCTGAGGGAACACGATCACTTATTTTTATCTTTATTTTACTTAACAAAACGACTGTTCTACAGCTCTAGCTTATTTTCAGGGTAGGGTAGAAAGCAGATTAGTAGCATTCTCCAAAACATTCCTTTCAGTAATACTACCACTACTACAATAGAAAGCATACGACTACTACTACCGTCGTATATGATATTGACTATGAGTATTAGTATCAGTCACTCGGTTGGCTCTCGTCTCGCTTGGAGACGATCGCCATCCTCCGATTTGCGTAGGAAAATACACTAAGAGAAGTTCGTCAGCGCCAGCAGAGTCGACTAAGTGTGGGGTGTGCGGTTAGAGGCTACGAAGAAGGCGACGAGCTGAAGACACTTTCCTGTGCGGTGTGTGGTAGTAGTTTCCCCGCATGTAACGGGGTACGTAGCCCTAAGTGTACCCTGGTTACATGAAGTCTGACACGTCACACTTCAGAAGTCTGACACGTCATACTTCGGGATATTTGGTACAAAGTACCAAGGTCGTCCAAGGCCAACCATTGGTTGATGACATTACATTTCTATGGGTGACTTATAGTTTGTATTAAACCCAAGCTTTATCTACCTATAAATATACTCAGTTTACATTCTACCTTAAATAGGTCACTTCGCTCTCTTTTGATAAAGAGGGAGCCTGTGAACAGCCGTTCACTGAGAGTTTGTATACTCTCGGAAGCTAACTTCCTCTAGCGCAAGGTGCTGTGTGACACCGTCACACTTGGTAGCACTTGTAGTCAATCCACGCCACCGCGGGTAGACTACCTGAACCTCTCCGAAGTTCGTTGCCATGGATAGGAACGACTTCTCCCATATGAACGACTCACAGTTCGAGTCGGTTCGGAAGATGGCAGGCATCTTCGGGATGGAGGCCCTGCAGAGCCTGGTGGTATCAACACCGGCTGAGCAGCTCGAGCGCGTCAATGCATTCGACGCGTACGAGCAGGGTCTCATCGCGCATGTGCGGGAAAACCTGCAGGCTCCGGCGGCGGAAGCAAATCCGCCTCACCCGAAGCCAATACGGCTGAAGGTAAAGCCGTATGAAGGAAAGGAAGGCGAGAACCTTCACTTCTGGGTCCGAGAAGTAGAGCTCGCGATGGACGCGGCTCTGATCTCGACCGAGCAACTGCGTGTTGCTTTTGCACTCTCCAACCTTAGCAGCCGGGCTGAGAGTTGGGTGTACACACAGGTAACATCCCCTGGATGTTTCACATCCTGGGCTCAGCTGTGTGAACAGCTCCGAGCCGCGTTCCTCCCGGCGAACTACGAGTACCGCCAACGTTCGCGCTTCCTCTCGTGCAAACAAGGGAGGCGTGAACTGCACGAGTACGTCCAAGAGATACGGGAACTCACGGCGTCCCTAGTGGGAACCCCACTCAACGAACACAATAAGATGACTGTGTTCATGGACGGCCTTCGAGTGGGCCCCGCACGCACTCAGCTGTTCCGGGTGCAGTCAAACACCCTTGAACAGGCAAATCAAGTGGCTCCTAAAGAATAGTACAGCCATCGCCAGGCGCGTACGCCGGCCTCAGCGTGGCCTGGGAGTTCTTTGTCGACTCCCGGTCGAACGCGCCTCAACGGACCAGTTCCCATGGAACTCGGGTCCGCCGAACAGCGTGACATCCGCTGCTTCGGCTGCGGGAAGATGGGTCACTTCAAGCGCGACTGTCCCGCGGAAAGACTCCGCAGACGGTCTTTCCCCAAGCCCATCCTCAAGGGTCGCTGGCAGAAGCCAGGAGGAACGCCGGGAATCAGTAGGGGCGGGACGCCCTGCTGGGGAAGAACTAAGTTTTCGTGATGGGTGCGCGGGTGGCGCGTACCACGCGGACTTAGCCCCTGAGAGTCTTCGCACTCTCGAATCGGCGAAGAGCAGCGGCGGGTTGCTCGTAGTACACGGATGTGTACGGGGATACGATCATCCCTTTAGAATCTTGATTGACTCTGGGGCGTCGAAGAATTTCGCACGCCGCCAGTCGGTTGCTCGTAGCAGCAACAAGTTGCTCGATCCTTTGAGAGAAAGCAAGGGCAACGGGACGGTGTCCGTGCGACTGGCCGACGGGAACGTCGTCACTATCCCCAACGTCCAAGTGGATCTGGCCGTCAAGTTTGAAGAGCCTCGAACTGTTCACTAATCTCGATATGGATCCATGTGATACGATCCTGGGCATGCCCTGGCTTGAGGAGCACGAGACCTGGATTGACTGGTGAGGCAAGGCCATCGGTGCCAGACGCCCTACGCAGTCCGACAGAGCATTGGTGAGTCATATTCCCACCTCTGTCAGGACCCGGAGCGCCCGCAAGGGTTGCGAGGGTACCAAAGCATCCGGCAGATGCTTGGGAGTCGTCGACGTATATGACGACTCCGAGGATGGTTTATGGTGGCAGCGCCCAGCGGAGGCGCTGGCCAAGTGGGTTACTTAGGTCCACAAGCGGGTAACTTAGTTCCGCAGACAGCTGCAGCTGTCACGAACACTGACAATAGTGTGCTCAAGGTGGGTAACAGAGTTCCACACACGGTCGCCCAGACCTTAACTGAAGAGGAAGACGTCGGATACGCTTCCTGTGTGGCTAACAGAATGCCACACGAGGCCACGAGTGCCTCGGATGTCGGAGCGCCGACATCCCCAGACGTGGGTAGCAAAGCTCCACGTCACGGTCGCCGTCGACGACGACGTCGCTTCAAGCGACTCAGAGTCCAGGGCCCGGGCTCCTCCGACAAGGCCGGTGGAAGAGTGTTATCACATCTTCGATGGCGAGACCGGTTTACCCGTCAAGGCATCTGGTGTCCACTTGGAACCGTTGCCAGAGGTTGCAGAGATACTGAACCTCGAGGAAATGACGGTCGAGTCTTTCCTGGTCAACCTCAAGGCTGGAAAGGTTGCCGAGATGGTGCTCATGAGACCTGAGACCACTCGGGAGGAGCTGAACTCATCCTCTGTCTTGGACGAGAACGTCCTGGAAGACCTAAACAAGCAACGTCAGACGCGCTTGGGTTCTGAGATCGTTAATAACCCCAAGGATCCGGTGTATTCTTTGGTGACGGAGTATGCGGATGTGGTGTACAAACACCCACCAACCCAACTCCCACCAGATCGAGGCGTACGGCATGAGATTGGTCTCGTGCCTGGCACAAAGTACTGTGTCACGAGGCAATGGCCTCTTCCGCGCGAACAGTGCGAGGTCAGTTGCAGCGGGGCTGTCGTAGCTTTAGCGTCAGAGGAAGACGTTCGCCTCAAGGTGTCACTAATACTAAGTTACTTATCCAAAGGAGCTTACAGCCCAAGACCAGAGCTCAAAGATAATACCTTAACTTTTATGCTTCAAAACCAAAAGTGTTTTATTTACTATTATTGCGGCCAAGCCGCCAAGGGGTAAATGTATCTCTTTAACTATGTAGCATAGCTAAACCTAATCAAATGCATAACGTGTGGCTTTCAGCCAACGTACTGAGAGACCTTGTTAACTCTCCAACTTATGTAATGAGAGTTTGTTAACTCTCCGGGTACTCCGTACCCCTGTGTGTTCTACACCATGTATACCCCCCCCCACTAAGATGAGAACATTCCGTTCTCGAAACTTTCCTCAGCGAGGTCACGTCTTGTTAAGACGGCGGAGGTTACTACACCTCACACCAGCGTTTATACAGCTCCGTGAGCTCACAAACGCCTACGCATCGTTGATGCCCAACTTCTCGTCGTCGGCCCACGGCCCAATTTCTGCAAGCGCAGCGCGCATCTTGCTCTCAAGCGGCCTCAGACCTACGCTCGCGCTCCGCGCCTACTCCAAGAGTTGCAAACCGCTAAGAGCTATGCTCTTGACTCATCCGAGTCGTCGACAACAGCTCAGCGGTTGAACACTCGCTTCACAAGCGATAGGTCGGTGGTTCGATCCTGTGGTGAAGTGCTTTCTTAGAAATAAGAGAATGGACCTGACGCGGGGTCACTATCCCGAATCAGTGACAATTTCAAGTGATTAGAGAGGATTTGGGTTGTCTGGCACGGATGCAAGTTGCCTGTGGTCGATTAGCCATGACGAGCAACACCTCGTACGAAATGACGATGGATCTGGTATGAGTGATGTACGGGAAGGCGAGATCCACCAAGACTTATCTCGGATCCACCCTTACCTGGATTCACTTAGATGGATATGGGATATACTATGTAAGGGTGGATCGAGTGTGGATCCTATGAACGAATGATGGTAGGTGCCCTCTGAAGGTGGATCTGGTAGCCACGGCTAACAAGAAGTCCGGATCCACCGCGAGGTGTCCCGGATCCCATACTTCCGAATTCGGATCCAAGGAGGGGGGATCCCGCATGGAGGGACCTGGATCCAGGGTACAGGGATGATGGAGGTAGTGGATCTCGAACTTTCGTGGGACAATGGAGATCACAGACGGTTGCAAGATGATGTAGGATGATTGGAGAGCTCAGATCCACGACGAGTGTGCTCTTACAGTGAAGTGGATCCAAGCGACCTGGATCCGGATGAGTGTACCCATAATAGGGTGACCATAATGAATACGCCATGGATCCGGTGGATCTGAAGATAATACAGCTGGGATGGTGGGTCAAGGGAAGAAGGGACATGCAGCCGAGCCTGGTAGGGAATTTAACAAGTGAAAGACATAGAAGGTAGAAATCCAGGCAGGTATAGGCTTAAGTATCAATACAGACCCCAATTTGCACAGTAACACGCAAGTGCCTTCCTCCCCTCAAGAACCGGAACTACATTGGCCGTACGAGCTCGGAGAAGGTTGGGAATTGCGAATCTAGTGTTGGTAGTGATAACTGAATAATACATTGGCCAGATCCTACAACCTAGTGAGCTTTTCCTTTACTTGTGCAGATCCG